GCCCTCTCCCACAGCCTGCCCCTCGCCCGCCAGGCATCGAGGAGCTGTGCCAGAAGCGGGAGGAGCTGTGCCGGCAGATCCAGCAGGAGGAGGAGGAGAAGCAGCGGCTGCAGAACGAGGTGAGGCAGCTGACCGAGAAGCTGGCCAGAGTCAACGAGAACCTAGCCCGCAAAATCGCCTCTCGGAATGAGTTCGACCGGACCATCGCGGAGACGGAGGCCGCCTACCTCAAGGTGGGGCTCAGGGCAGCTCTGGGGCCTGTGTGCCGGCAAGTCCGGGGGGAGCGTGCTCTGGCCTGGGTGCCCACAAGCAGCAGTGACAGGACTGCGGTATGGACGGGCCCCCAGTCACGTGATGGCATTGCTGTCAGTGGGGCTGCTGTGTCTCAGGTTCTGAACACTGTACTCAGCACCCTGAGGCTTGCTCCAGACCGGGAGCAGCAGAGTGGCGGCAGGGGCAGAGCTAACTTTGTTTTCCAGGATGCGAGGAAGGAGCTTTGGGCTACACTCCGGGGTGGGGTAGCTACCGCCCCTGCTGTCCCCTCAGGGGCTTCCTCTTGGCTGCTCCTGTCCCACAGCCCCCATGGCCTGGCCCTCGCTTGGCACCTGAGTGGGGCTGGGCTGTGGGAACTGTGACAGGACAACCTTTACGTGTCTGTTACAGATCCTGGAGAGCTCGCAGACTCTGCTTAGTGTCCTGAAGAGGGAAGCTGGGAACCTGACCAAGGCCACAGCTTCAGAGCAGAAGACTAGTGGAGGCAAGGACAGTTGACAAGGCCTCTGGTGGGAAGAGGCCTGTCTCCACTGCACCTGTCAGCTGTTTGATCCTCAGCAAGTCTATCTTCAAAGTGTCTTTGTTCATGGCAGCATCTGCCTTCAAGAGGCAGCTGCCAACCTCCACTGCCCCCTGCTGACAAGAAAAGCCCTGGGTGCAGCCTACCAGGTGGGAGGGTCCTAGCCATGCACTCACCACACAGGCAGTGGGGAGGGTGGGCTCTGGGTCAGTTCTGCTCGGGGCCTGTCTGAAGCCCCCACACACCCCTGGGCTGCAGGAAGGCCCTGCTTCTGGCCTCAGCATCCATGGGAGGTCCCTCACGCTCCTTTGCCAGCAGGTGCCCAGGCCGGGCGAATGGGCAGGGAGGGCCCTCCTCACTTCAGAGCTTGCTCTAGTGACCTGTGACTGTCAATAAATGTTGTTTTTATGAAGATCCATGCTACCCTGCTGCCTGTGTCCTGCCAGGAGAGTGAGGCTGCCAGATACTCCCAGAGCCAATGTGGCTCCTCTTGGGTGGGGGTAGGGAGGAGGGCCTCCCTGCCCTAGGGGACAGAGCTGAGGGTGTCCCTGTGCATCTCCTGTGACCCTCACACCACCCATCCCATTCCTGGCCCCCTTTCACCTGACTCCAGCACACGCAGCCCACCCTTCCCTGAGGGGCTGGACTCTGCCTGCTGGTCCTAGTCTCTGCCACCCCCTGGTGTCCACACAAGGCCTGACCTAGGGAGTTGTCTTCTGGGCTCCAGCTCTGTGATTCCAGATACCATTGAGCCTGCCAGCACCACTGTTTCTGCTCTCCATCCCAAGCCCTCTTTAGGTCCATCTCTATTAGCCTGTCAGCCCATCAGTTCCCTGTGGCTGCTTGCCTAGGGGAGTGTGGAGGTTGGCAGGTATGTAGGTTAAGAGAGTCCAAATCCAGAAAAACCAGAGCCCACCCCACTCAGGAAAACACCAAAAACACCCTCCTCCCTCGCAAGCCTGGACTCTCCAGGAGGGACAACCTCAGAGTTGGTAAATGGCCCTGGCTCCAAGATGCAATTGAGCAGGCAGCCAAACCCAGCCTGGAGCTGCTCCCAGCGGGCAGCTCTGCGTCTCCCGCCACATCACCTCCCACAATCCGTTGGATTTCCCCGATAGCTGCTAGCACCAACCACAAGAGAGCTCGAAGGCTTTCGTGGGTCAGGGAGTTTTCTAAGCCACAAAGCAAGCAAGGTCCCTAAAGTTCTGCCCACCCCATCCCCTGCCCTGCCCCTGGTCCCGTCCTAGGTTCTTAGCCCTTCAGGGAAACCATGTCAGACCCAATAGTTGCAACACCCACCTCTACCGCCTGCAGCCCAAGCCCCTGGGCACAAGAGTTCCAGACGCAAGAGAGCATGCCCACTGTCCCAACGCTGGGTGGGAGGGGGTTGCCCCAGGAACAGGCATGCAACAGGGCAGTCCCTCACCTGGGCAAGGGGGTGGCTGGGAGGGCAACGGCTGTGGGGAGTGAGAGCACTGTGAGGTGTGGGGATGCCTACCCCCCAAGGCACAGAGGTCCAAGCTGGGCCTCCATCACACCCTATGTGGGCTTCTCCCCACTGCCAGCACCTCAGTGGAGCCCTGCACACCTCTAAGGTGAGGACCATGCAAGGAGGCGGCCTTGTCCAGTGCTGTTTATTGAGTCTACCATCAGAGGTAAGAACAGACTTCCATTCATCACAAAGGAAGCAGGCTGAGCC